TCAGTAAGTGCAGCATGGGCTATATTATCATAGTTTTATTCAGAGTTGGAAATAAAAGAAGCAAGCAAAAGTACGACCTATGACAGGACAGGGACTGAAAGGCATCATCCTGCAGTTTACATCTGTCCAGTCATGATTTGCATGGCCTACCTTAGATACTACAGAAATATTAGAAGAAAAAGGCTGTAACTGATTTTATGTTTTAATTTACAATTTTAGAACTGCTCTGGTCATGCTACAAAATGAAGGCTGATTTGTTTGTTTTTCAGATCAGCTAAACTGTTAATGAGTGCTGGCAGCAGTGAAGAAGATATAGATGACATTATTGATGAAATCTGTAACGACAGCAGCTTTGCCAAAACACCTCTGGTGAGTAGGAGTCTGGAGAAATGCAGAACGGATGAGGCTCAGCGATGGAAAGAAAAGCACCGTAAACTACAACTGTTTTAAAGCAAAAAATGAGCTAAAACAAGCTGTAGGATAAACTTGGAAAATAAAGCAGAAAGGAAAATGAAACAATCCTATAGTGAGGAACAGGAGAGGTATAAAGGGATGGTCTTACCCAGGCGGTTACAGGAAGTTAAAGGAAATGCTAGTTCAAGATAGAGCACAGTGTGAAATATCACAGAATCACGGAATGGTTGAGGTTGGCAGGGACCTCTGGAGGTCATCTGGTCCAACCATCTGCTCAGGCAGGGCTACATAGAGCTGGTTGCCCAGACAGCTTTTAAATATCTCCAAGGATGGAGACTGTACAGCATCTCTAAGTAACCTGTTCCAGTGTTTGACCACCCTCACAAGAAGTAAAGAAGTTTTTTCATGTGTTTAACTGGAATTTCTTGTATTTCAATTTGTGCCCATTGTCTCTCCTCCTGTCAGTGGGCCCCACTGAAGAGTCTGGCTACGTCTTCTTTATTCTTCCCCGTTATGTATTTTTATACATTGATAAGATTCTCTTGACCCTTGTCCTCTCCAGGCTAAACAATTCCAGCTCTCTTAGCCTCTACCTGTATGTCAGACGGTCTGAGTCCTTAATCACCATTGTGTCCATGTCTCTTTTGTACCTGGCACAGCACCCAAGACATGTCTATGAGGCCATATCTGGAGTACTGTGTCCAGTTCTGGGCTCCCCAGTACAAGAGAGAGATGGAGCTACTGGAGAGCCTCCAGCAAAGGCCCATGGAGATGATTAAGAGACTGGAGTATCTTTCATGTGAGGAGAGGCTGAGAGAGCTGGGACTGTTCAGCCTGGAGAAGAGAAGGCTCCAGCGGGATCTTATCAATGTGTGTAAGTACCTGATGAGTGGAGTAAAGAAGGGGCCAGACTCTCCTCTGTAGTGCCCAGTGACAGGCCAAGAGGCAATGGGCACAAACTGAAACACATGAAATTCCACCTGTACACAAGAAAACACTTTTTTACTGCGAGGGTGGTCAAACACTGGGACAGGCTGCCCAGTGAGGTTGTGGAGTCTCCATCTGTGGAGATTTTCAAAACCCAACTGGACACAGTCCTGGGCACGCTGCTGAAGCTGACACTGCTTTGAGCAGGGTGGGGTTAGCCTAGATGATCTCAAGAGGTCCCTTCCAACCAAAATGATTCTGTGATTCTGTCTCACCAATGCTGAGTGGAGAGGAAGGATCACCTCCCCTGACCTGCTGGCAATGTCCCTCCTAATGTAGCCCAGGATGCTGTTGGCCTTCTGTGCTGCAAGGGCACACTGCTGGCTCATGGTCAACTTATCATCGACCAAATTTCCCACGGCCTTCTCTGCAAAGCTGCTTTCCAGCTGGTCAGCCCTCTGTGTTCTGGTGCATGAGGGTTATTCCTCCCCAGGGGTGGGAGTTTGCATTTCCCCTTAGTTGAACTTCAAGAGATTCCTCTCAGCCCATTTCTGCAGTCTTTTGAGGTCCCTCTGAATGGCAGTGCAGTCATCTGGCATACCAACTGCTGCTCCCCGTTTTGTACCATCTGCAAATGACTTCTGTTGCGTGACAGCAGGAGATGGAGATGAAGCCGCAAATTTACATCGTCAAGATAGTCATAGTGATAGAAGACATAGAAAACAGATATTCATTTAGGTATCACCAGTAGAAAATTGTTGTTTATACTTAATAACCCCCTGTGCAGATTCTCTTACTTTCATGAGTGACATTGGTTTTGCTTTGTTTGTCTTTGATTTCTTACAGAGTGGCTAAATCTGAACCAACAAAAAACACCTGTATACCACAATACGTATGTCTGAGTGAGAGAGAATTATGTCAGTAAATTTGTATAATTTTATCATTTTATATCCCTAGGACTTCCCATTTAGAATCTAGAATTCTAGTGTTTTAGAATTCAAATAAACTGTTTTATGTGCAGCAAATAAGAAACTTTTCAAAGACACTTCATCTTTTTGAATAATATAAGTCCTTGATGTGTTTTCAGTAAAACAAAAGCTCAAAAATATTGAGGGAGAAGGTTCCTAAGTTAAAACTGTTTTTAAAAGCAAAATTATTAAGAAGAGGGCATGAAATACTAAGTCTTGTTTGTAAAGTCAAAGTGATCATGTGGTGTTGAATTCCTTCAGGCAGAGCTGGGAATTCAGTATGGGAAGAGAAGCGTCATTCCTCATTTATCTGTTACTTCAGCAGCTTTTGTCTCAAGGAGCCTCACAGAAACCTGAGCAAGAAAATTCCGGAATTCTTTTTCCCCTTCTTCTGTAACTGAGATTTTCTAGCTCCTGCTTATTAAGTAAAACAGAATATTGTTACCTTGCTGTAATGCTGCCTTTTATTCTTTGATTACTTTTTAAATAGAAATTGAAGTCTAACTCTGCAAGTCTCACACCTGAAAGCAATAGTGCTGTTGTACAGGCTCATAGGAAAAGGTAAGTGAAAAATGGTTTGGCTGGTTGAACATAGCTTGATTATAGGTTGTTGTTAGTCTAATAATATTACTACTGTTTAATCTGTGTTGTTATTAACTAAGAAAGAAACTGAGTATTTAGAGAAGCATTCTTTTTAAAGAAAAAGATAAAGATAATTTTGAAGAATTACTAGTGTGCTTTCATGTGGTCAAAATTATTTATTATAAGTTTATTTAAGTTATTGAACAACAGCTTTCTTTGCCTTATGGACATACAGATTTATCACATGCTGCAATATATAGTCCCAGGTATATTTGGTATAGAGAGTGGTTGTCATCATAGAGTTTTTCTCTGAACACCCTGGTAATGGAAATTTTAGAATTCTATACTTTGTAAACATTTGGATGCTTTGCCTATATTTAATAAATATTATTTTAGAAATACCATGCTGTTAAACTAGGAGAAGCATTATACTACTTTCTCCAAAATGTTTTGCTATAATTTAATATTTTTTAATAAAATCCATATAGATGCTGTCCAGTGTACCTGGGTGGAAGCTCTTCACCATATGGCATAGGAACAAATATTTCAAAAAGGTAGGAAACGTGAAAAAAAATGTTCTGCTTGCTTTATCATTATTTTTATTCACAACTGTGTTTCTGTGGTGGTACGGAGTTCTGCGTTTGAACTGGACAGGACAGCCCTATATTCATCTAAATATGTGGCTGCCTGTAACTGCAGTTGAAGTCAGCTGGTCCCTTCCAGTCCTCTGCTGTTGACCACTAGATCTTTTGTTCATCTGAGGAGTTGAAAGATGTGTACAAATGAGACATGAGACTCTGAAAATCAGTAACATGTAGTGAAGGAAATTGCTGCTGTAGAGTATTGTTATTTTTCCCTGCCTCTCTTCAGCTTTCTATGTGATGCCAAGTATGTGACTTAAATCAGTGGGCTGGTTTAAATCATCCCAGAGCCTGAACTGAAAATAGCCAGAGTGCTTTGCAACTGAACGTAGCAGGAGAGGTACTGTAAAGATTTATCGCCAACGTCCTATAGAACATTATTGAATTTCTATGTGGGATTTTTTTGCAGCAAGTAATTATGCACTTGATGTATATTTGGATGCGAGTCAGGTGCCATACCAGTGAGGAAGACCAAAGAGAAAATATTAAGAGAATATCAGTTTATTTTATGTGTTCAGTGAGGTTAGGAACCTGTAAAAATAATACATGATCATATAGTTAAAACACATACCATAATGAATGTGTCAGAGATGTAAAAAAATTAAGATTACAGGTAACCTTGCTCCTAGTATTTCTGAGTGAGTGCTGTACTTCAGAACGTAGCTTCTCTGATTGTAATAAGCTCTTAGAGCTTTCCGTCCTTTTTTGACCAGAACATGTGATCAACTACGTTGTACTGCTTGCGACTTCCGTGTGTCACTTTTCAATGACTACATCTGGGATCAGTCCTGTGATTATCTTTTTTTCAGGTATGTCTGAGGTGGGTTTGGTATTAGTATTGTGTTAGTGTGCTTTGGGGCTTGATAGGAACAGGAAAGGTGAAAAGTCATGAGCACTCCTGTGTTACTTGAAAAGGAGCATGTGTGCAACCTGTTCGGTGTTCGGGTGGGAGAGTCTGCAGGGAGAGGGATGCAACATCTCCCATAATCTGTTTTCATGCCTTTCCATTTCTTCCCCCACCACTCTCCCTCTCTGCTTTTAAAAAGAATTCAAGTTTCGTGGATCAAAAAGGCAACTTTACTGCTGAAATAAGCAGATAATCTGTGTGATGGGTTGGCCTCTGGTGTGCCATTGCAGGATGCCTACAAAATAAATGCAGACTGTTCAGCATGTACTTCTCACCATACCTTCAGTCATACAGACTGTGAATGTTCGAGTCGGATTTTCTTTTTTCCAGTATCAAGTATTATGCTGTCATGTTCAGTGAAAATCAAATAGTTCGATTTCTTAACAGACTTGTTTTTGAAGCAAGGTTTGGTTAAATGGAGAGGTGGGATTTTTGTTTTCTTGTTATATTGTGATGTCTTTGACTTCAGTTATTTTTATTTTTTTTAAGGCTTAAAATTAAGGAGTTCCTATTTCCAGTTTCTCTAAAACTGTATCTAATGCCAAGACTTAGTGAAGGGTAATGTAGTAGGCATGCTCCTAATACAGACATCGAATTTGAATTCCTCTTATTTTAGTGAAGTCTTCATTTTGCCCGTTAACTGACGGAGGTCGTGGATGTGTTCGGAGTATGTGCTTGGCCACCAGGGGGTGTGGCAGCTGAAGTAGAACAGTAATGGATACATCATCTCCTTTTCCATTATTTTTCTTGTATTACTTGTTAGGTTTTTCCTGTATTTGCCTTCCAGTTTTGAAGTTTGTATTTCTCTCTGAATGAAAATTTCATTTTCCCATTACTTAAAGCAGTGTTAGAAATACAGTGCTGCATTAGTCTCCTGAGATGAGTTTGGTAGCTGGAAAGGTTAAATAGATGATTCTTTTATTTACTCAAAGTCTAAGTTATCTGCTTCTGAGATCTTGAAATTAATTAAGTTTAAAAAAAAAAGACATGAAAGGCATTAGTATCAGATACTTGTAACATTGATTAAAATCTGTAATCTTTAGCAAGATATTTAGCTATTTATTTTGACTAACTTGAATTTTAAAAAGCAAACTTTAAGATTAAACATTTGTCTTCCATGCATAGGTGTCTGACCTCTTCTTCAAAAAATTCTTCCTTTGATTTTTTTGGGGGGTTTTCTTTATTTAGCTGGGCTTGTTAATGTTGTTTCTGAGCAATTCAGTGGCCAGTAATTGATAGCCAGGAGGAGCTCATGAGAGCAGGGATAGTTAAAATGCCAAATTTTCACTTGTTTTTTGAAACAACTTGGTTTTGTAACAGCCATGCTGATTTTTCATTTGTTGTGGTTGATGTTTGCACAGGAATTATTTGTGGTTTGATGTACATTCTTCTCTCCGATGGCCATTTCGTTTCAGTCACTTTAACAATCATCCTGGGTAACAGTTCCTGATGAAAAGTTTAACTCTGTAGTTGTACCCATTCTGCATAGGAATTCTTACAGTAAGTCTGATAAGATAAATACATTTTTGGATAATTTCTTAACACACGGATTAACGCTGCCTGGTTTTCTTCCCAACTCTGTCTCTGGAGGCTGACACAGGGTTTCTAAACCCAACAGAGAACATTGCTTACAAAAACATCAATCTCCAGTTGATGTGAGTATACAGCAACTATGCACCAAGACCACTCTCAGGAAAGGATTGTGTTCAAAACAGAATTTAAACATATCCCTAAATTAATTCATAACAGTGGTACTCAGAAATGTTCTTAAGAGCTTTTCTGAATTGAAATGGCCTCATGAATCTTTCTTCTTTAAAAAAAACCCCGCATGATCCTAAACTGAATTCACTTGATTGGCAGGAATAACATGCCTGAGCTCAGTAAACTAAGAGCGAAGATGATAAAGAAGAAAGGAGCACGAGCATATGCTTGTCAGTGCAGCTGGAGATCCATTGATGAATTAACTGACCTCCAAACAGACCAGCAGCTTCGGTGGGTTTGTGGTAAACATGCAGAATGAAGTCCTCTTGTGTGTGGTACCTACTTGTGTGGAAACAGGTCATAAACTCGAGAGTTTTCTGAGAACAGATGGAAACCTGAATACTTATATCTAGAAATAGATTATAATACCCAGACTTCAACCTGAAAACTTTTTTTCAATTTAACTGTCTTGCAAGCAATATGGAGTGTTGAATTATTAGAAGAAACAACCAATTTGGAGGCTTTCTGGAAGATAAATAAGGTTAAAGCTCATACTCAGTAGTGTTAAAGAAAGGAAGAGATAATAGACAGATTTAGGCATGGGGCAAAGCACCTTGAGACTGTTCCTCGTATCTAGCAGAGAGCCTTATTTCCCATGTCTGCAAAATCTTGGACTCAAAATGGTGGGTTGGGATGCAGCCATGACACACAAGTGTATGAATTTCTGTACGGAAATTAATACTGCTGTTCTGCTTTGCTCATAGCTGTTAATGAGCAAGTGGTTGTAGATCTCTTAAAAAATTACTGCGAGATCAGCTCTCACCTCGAAGGTTTCAGCACACCCCAAAACTTTATTTTACCCACCAGTAGCCAAAAACTGCAGGTGCTGGAAATCTCCTTCTAGTTCCTACTGCTTGCTTCAAAGCACTTTCTGCTGACTAAAGACTTTTACCACAGTGAATTTCTTGGACTTCCCTTCAGCCTTCACTGCAAGAGGTGAACAAGTTACTGTGCAATTATTAAATATTGTATAATTTTAAAGAGATTCTGAAGAGTATATGACTCTTCTATCAATATTTGCAAGGGAAAAAAGGCTGAGGCTTTTAAGAGTGAGAAAATATATATCCCCACTTTTTTTTCAGTTCCACTTAGCTTTCACTTCAGCTTCGCTTCAAAATAGTACATATTCAGAAAGTGTAACTGTCCTGTTTCAACACACTCCCTTCCCCCAGTAACATTGTAAAAGTACTTCCTGTATCACGTTACTTGGTGAATTGTCTTGATTACAGTTAATGTCACTATAGTTTATGAGCTCTTTCTTTTCATTATGTATAAATAACACAGGAGATGGATTTGGGTTTTGGGCGGGCAGAGAGGAAGGAAAGGATTACCAGTCCTGGCAATTACTACATTGAAAAGTGTCTCAAAATGCGAAGTCTGTCAGTATTTTTGCTATGCAGTATGTGATACTGTACAGATAAATTCAAAATCACTTACTTTGTGCAATTCTAGCTATGCAGAGCCATTTCTCTTTTTGTGAAGTGTTGCTCACGGCCCTAATCTGTACATTGTCAATCTGTTCTTTTTCTGAGCTTTTCCAAAACAATTGCATGGTCTCTCTTATAGAGGTCATTTCTCGAATCTGTGGCTTTGTCTGTACCCCTCTGGAAGAGCAGATCCCGGTAGTGACCAGAGGCATAATGTACTCTGCATCCCGCTCACCTTCCCCCTCCGTGAGTGTTTTTTTAGAACCTGCAGAGGACCAGAAGTGTGCCTGGGAGGCCGGGCAGTGCTTACGTACGCAGAGCTTCGGCGCTCTCGAATGCCTGTTCCAGTGCCACATGCGGCCTTGCTAGTAGGTTCAGAGGTGAGTTGGCTTCGGAGAGGTACTGCTTGGCATAATGGTATAGACATATTTAGGGTCATGTGTTATTTTCAATGGAATTGGTGTTTCAGGCTGAAGTTTCAACTGCTAGAGTCTAAAACTGCAGGTTCAGGAGAAGGAGAGACCCAGAGACCAGCTGATTAATGCTCAATCAGCTGCTGGAAGAGGTCTGCTTGCCTTTCTGTCCTTTGTGAAGAGATAGCCCCCGTGTGGACTGTAAGCAGTAAGTGTTCCTGGGTTTTCTTCAGGTGGGCCTGAGCGATTTCCATTCCCAGAGAACATCAGTGCTAATGGTGAGAGAAGAACCCAGCAGTAGTATGTAATTTATTAACAAGCTCTAGAGAAGAAGAAACCTACTTTCCATTCTTCTTCTTGAAGAAGAATGCATTTCAGAAAGTGCTGAGTTGCCTTGGCTTGCCTGTTCCAAGGCCATTTGAAACTGATGACTAAGTAGCCCCACAGGATGCTCTTTTGGCCTGGATTTGCGCTGGAACTTGTGCCACAATGTAGGGTACAAGTAAGGCTTGCACCTTGTGAGCAGGAAACGGGCAGAATCCTAACATCTTACTTGAGCTGGAAAAGGAGCATGTCTCCTGTACCCTGTTTTAAACAAACCAACAGAAATAGTCACCCCCTCTGGAACAGTTTGCACTACCAAGCGTGTTGGAGCAAATCGTGCGGAAACAAAAGTTCAAGACATCCGTTCTAGTGATTTTTATGACAAGAAGACAGCCTGCAGCACTTGAAAAGGGGAGGCTAGGAAGGAATTGAGACAAAAGCACTAAGAGTGTAGGAGAAGTGAAAAGGATTAACACCAATATCTATTGACAACATTAGTCAGCATTTCTCCTAGGTCACCTCATCCCTCAGTCTTCCGTTAGCCCAGAGAGCTGTAGAAAGAGAGTTCTCTTTCTGGATAGAGATTGTTGTCAGGCGATTGTATCACTAACGCCATTAAGACTGTACTCCAAGCACTGGAAATGTTAGAAGAGAATCTTCGTTGGTAAATGTAAGTGGAAACCTGTGCATTCCCCTGAAATCATCGTGTTTATTCAAGAGTAGTTACTTGTTTCTGGCCTTGGTCAGAATGGTGGGATATGACAGCTCTTTGTCCAAGTGAAGTTTTAAACACGTGCAGAAATAGTGCTTATTGTATTGGTTTTCATTACAGAATTTAACATATTTCTAGACCTGAGAATAGTTACTATGTCATTAAATATAATTGTTTTGTTGGAAAGAGGAGTGGTATTAAGTATTTGATTTCCCTTGCTGTGCTTTCTTCAGTTACATGTTACAAACCACTCCAAAGTCCTCAAATGAAAAGAATGTAAAGAAAGGTAAAATTGGAGCTTGAATGTTCATTTGATGAAGGTATTGTAAGATAGCACAAGGTTTTCAAAATGTATCCCAGACCCTAAGTGATACTTCCGTGTCGGTTATCTGAGATAGCAGGGATTATGTAAAGAATTTTGTTGAAGAATGCCATTCAGCTGTTGTCAAACGGAAGTACTGGAGAACAGTTTTGCTAAGTATAAATGCGACTATTGTTTTCCTCCAGTTTTTTGCTTTGGAAGAAGTAATACCATTTCTGTTTGTGAAATGGGCAAGGTGAAAACTTGAGACTTTCATTTTGCTTGGGTGATATGCTTGGAAATTTTCTAGCCTGCAGCATTAGTCTGCAGCAGATCCCTCAACAAAGCAAAAGCAACGGCGGATGACAAAACGAGAATCCACGCAAAAGCATTCACCTGGAAATGTAGTTGGTGGTTTAACGCCACACCAGCTTTTCTCAATCTGTCTTCCTGCAGTACTTCTGGATAGGAATCCAATTCTGATGTAGATAGTACATTTTGATAGCTTTTCTTTATCAAATTTTAATGTGCTGTTCTAATTATATCTCACTTGTTTTACCTGCAAACTGTGGAGGGTGTCCAACCCAGATGCTGAATATAGCTCAGAAGAGAAATTGTTAAGGATCTTGCCCTGCCCTAAAATTTAACTTAAAGAAGCACAGTAGCATTACATATTGCAAGCTCTGCATTGTATAAAATTGAATAAAGATTTCGTTTTTCTGAACGCCCGTTTCAGTTTTGTACTGAAGGTATTCCGCAAATGCTAGGCACTGGAGGCTGCAGCTTGCTGAAAGGTTGACCACTTCTCTTGTTTCCTGACATGTGAGTCTTTGGGTCATGTAACCAGCACATGTGGTAGTCACACAATAGGGGAGGGACTGTGTTGGGAGCTGCGTAGGCAAATTTTCCTTCCTGCCAGGCTCTTTTTGCACAAGACCTGACCGGTTTTGCCTGTTGTGTGACACCCGATAACTGCAGACAGGGCAGCCTGGAAGGGGATGGAGTAAAGGAGTGTCAGGTGCTGCTCATTTGTGAGGGCTACATACGATGCCTGCGGCTTGGCATGTGTGCTTTGAGAAGAGTGTTTTTTCAAATGTCGACACTTCAATAAAATAAAAAATTGGAACAAATCCGAATTGTGTGTTGTGTAAATTCTAGTGTGCTGTTCCTATCCAAGAGAAGCCTTACGAAAATTATGTAGGACCATGTTTTCTCTGACAGAAGGGTTATGAAATGCCCTTAACACAAAAACGTTGTCCAGCTCATAAGAAACAGTAAGTACTTGGATGTTTCCTGACATCAGTGGGGATGCAGCAAATACCTGAGAAGTGAATGAGCTTTAACATTCTTAACCAGGTAATGCGAGGAGAGCACATTAAATTAGAGAGCGCTCATAAGGGTGGATGCATTTACCACGTTTCTTGGATGTTTACCTGGGATAAAAGATGGAGCCAGTTGCTGAGGGAGGTGGCATATAGCTAAATTTCTTGCAGAGTGGGATGCTGGTACCTTTGTGTATCAGTCAAGGCAGGTTATCACAAGCTTCCTACTGGTCACTTAAAAGAGGGAGAACAATCAAGGAATCGCAGCGTTTGCTGTCCCCTAGGTCTTGCTGTAGAAAACTCTGCTTAGTACCAGGAAGAAGTTGCTCCACGTATGGGAGCTGGAGCAAATCTTGTTTCTCCATCATGAAGAAATGCTGCGTGGCATACGTTAGAGTCACAGACATAAATATTTCCTATACTCCATTCTGAATTTGGATGGCGGGCGTCGGTGCTGTTCCGGCAGTAATTGCTTCCCAGAGGTAGTGGGCAGCGTGGACTTGGTGAGAACACACAGAAAACACCCACTGCCTCAGGAGTACACCTGGCTTACCTTACTCACGACTGGCAATGTCACAGTGCGCCGTTAGAAGGTAGTGCCCATGTATGTTTAATTCACATTGAAAATTTTTATTCTGTTGCGTTAGGTGTGCCTTAAAAGTATGTAATTTGGGGTAAGATGTAATTATACGATCTAGTCTGCAGAGGGCAGAGCAACACCACCGAGTGTTACAGTTCAGGCTTCTGCTTCACGAATACCAGCTCGTACTTCTTTTTTTCTGGAATAATGAAGGTTTACATTCAACCGACCAAGGCTTCTTGCGTTTGTTCTCTAATGGTGTCATTACAAGGGGGGTAGCCAGATCTGTGGCATCTCCATTTCATTTTTGTGTGACTTCATCCAGATGGTCCTCAAGTGGTCCTTGACCAATACTGAAGCAGATTAACTTTTTTAGCCGTCAGCTAAAGAAGCATAAAAAAATGTGTGTCTGTGTGTACATATATAGAGAGATATATATACACACATAAGTGTATGTATGTTTATCCTCTAACAACATCAGTGGAAGTACTAAATTGCCTTCGGGATTTACCTTTCACCCTGCCCAAATTAAGTTTCCCTGAAAACATTGTTAAGCAGTTTTGGCAAGCAGAGGTTGTGTACTTTAGGATCTCATAATGCCCAACAGAAAATTTGTATAGCACATCACTCAAGATGTGAAAAGATGGCAGATCTTAGAAGGAAAATGGTAAAAGGCCAAGATTTAGAGTTACCAAGCAATTGTTTCTATGTCAGAAAGCCACGCAGAAGACCAGAGATGCTGCAGAGCAGTCTGAGTAGTGGCAGTGAGAATCGTCCAAAGACCTGCATCCTGCAGGTCATCGGCCATGAGCCCTGGCTAAGGTTTTGGTGAAGGGTGAGTTTTAAAACATTGTGTCAGCTGCACGTTTGCAAACACCCCGCCTCCCATGAACAGACACACGTACAGAGTGGTTCTTTCACTTTGAACGCTCTTCTGATTCCTTGGGAATCCAGTAAGTCTGAATGTACAGAGCAGATTTACAGTGGATGGAAGTAAACGTGATCTCCGATAACCGGTGAAGTTGTGTCCATTTCTGTCGAAGTGATGATGTGCTTTTAACTAGAAGCACAAACATATCTAAACCATGAAACTAGAGTTTGCTTATTTTACTGGTAAAATAGGGAGTATCATCTAAATTTAGCCTAGTTATGCCACAGGTGAGTGATCTCTGTAACACTTCATTTTTTACTTCCTACTTTCCCTCTAATAGGAGAAATAGTTGAACAAAAATTTTTAGTAGAGAAAATAGGAACAAACAAGGCTGCGTAGCACACTGTGAGAGGTTGCACACAGAAAAGTTCTGTGAAAACATTTTTTCAGGCAAGAAAGAAGACATTGTTTTTTGTTTGCTTCTAAACTAAAGAAGACACACCTAAGTGAAAGAAACAAAAATCGCATTCTACAGGGGGAAGTTCAAATGCCCACAAAAAATTGCCAAAAGCAAGGACAAAAATCCCTATGGGAGGTGTCCTTTCTAGAGTCTTTTAGGGTTGCAGTTCCAGGGGCTGGCCCAGAAGATGGGGGTGGATCCACACCCCCATCCGCTGCCCTTCGGTCACTTCCATCCCAGGAACCTGCGCTGCGTAGGGAAGCAAAGTGCAGGAGGGACTTGATCCTCAGAGGGTACCTGCTTGCTTCCGCATGAGGATGTTGTGGAACACGTGAGCTGACTGTGGTTCACTTGGGTTTGGGGGTTTTTCCTCTGAAATTTGTGAGAAGGGTTTCCTGCAGTATTTTGAAACCTGTTTCCTGGTGATAGGTTTTAGATACAAAAGCTAAGACAGTCAGATATTATATTTAGATATTATATCTAAATATGAGAGCTATATTATATAGCTCTTATATTTAGATATAAGAGCTAAGATATTCAGGGCTGCTAAAAACTTCTTAGCCAGTGGTTTATAACTATTATTCAAATATAAGCAAATTATCTTGAAGTTTTTCGTGAGAGTTTAGTGAAACTGAAACTCTTACAGCCTCAGAGCTTATACTAAAGAACTGGGAGGCAGAGAGGAGGAAGGCATTTTCATACTGGTCAAACAAATGCATAATATTCTAGCTCCAAGTACCTTAAATGTATCTGTTTAAAAATGCAGTTGTCTACAGAGGGGAAAAAAATGTTAAGTAGCTCTTGAGTGGTGGTAGGATACTTAAAAAGCAGCCATAGAATTTTTCAATCTCTATTTAAAGGTAAGCAATATGGCCTTACTCTAAGACAATGCAATATATGCGATAGTAATTAAATACAGTGAGCATACATCTTTCAGCTACTGCAAAGCAGCTTTGGAATAGTCAGCAATCTGACCATGCTCGGAAGCCCGTGTCCTGACCGCCCCGATGTAAACAGCATTCACAGGAAGGGGGAAGCAGCTACCAGAGACAGGAAGGTTGAATTTAGCATCAAACTCCTTATCTAGGCAGAGCGGGCTGCTCAGGATGCTGGTAAGAAAAAAATGTACAAATCGCTACAGCAGACTGTGATAGCTGCCTGGCCCTTCCTGGGAAGACCATTCACGTCGATGTAATCAGGGTACAATCTGGCGCGTGCAGATGGGTTTAGGAAGAGATTATATCCTGGGGCTGGTTATCCAAAATAATGCTTACCACGGTGTATTACGGTCTCATTCAGTCTCGGTTGCCATCACTTGCAGGAAGAGATTGATCTGTGTGCTGAAGTAGGAGGGTGTGTGTCTTTTAAAAATAAAAACTTTATCATAGTAAGAGTTATTATTAGTCTTATTAGCCCTAAAGAAATATAAGTCTTTCCTGAATCCTAATACGCACTGCAATATCTGGTTTAATTTTCAGATTATAGGTTTTATATCAGAGCTGGCACAGCTCTGGTTCCAACCAGAGAGATAAAAGCTGTTGCAGCATTCTTTTACGTGCTTTGAATCAATGAGGCATCTTGTTTACAAGTGGAAGATAAGCGACTTCAAAACATTCTTTGCGGTGTAGTCAGTTGCTCATTAACATATGATGCCCAGTTTCCTTTTGATTTCTGTGTGTATCTTGGGAAATCCATCTGCTCTGCGCCTACAGCACAGCAAGGCACCGTTCAGCCAGTACATGCTCCTTTGTGGCTGAAATGAGGAGTTAACACAAAATCGTAGCGTCCTCTGCATTGATTTTCCTATGAATGATGCCTCTTATTTCTCCCGCCTTCCCCAAAGTATACTGCAAAATTATTTCAGATTTTTCTCAAAACTTTATTCAAGCTAAGATTGAGACCTGGAAACACTTTAAAGCAGGCTTTTAGTTGCATCTTCCCACATATGTCTGAAACACCTCTTTTCATTTTTTTTTCCATGCTAGATATATATTTAGTTCAGTAAGGAAGGCTGGAAACAATTAAACTATGAAAAAGGAGAGTGGTATAAAAGTCTATCCATGTCCTGAACGGCAATAAAATATATCTGTCCTGGGTAATTGCAAAAAGAACATTCTGGGTTTGAATTGCTAAAACAAGTTAAGCCAAGAAGATATTGGGGTCCATCTGTTCTGCTAGCTGAATGTGGGTACCGCACATCACCAATCTCCTGAGCACAGGAGGATACGCTGACACAGCCGTCAGCAGTCTTAGCACCGAGTATCCAGCCAGGTGCTTCACGCCAGGGTTGCTAGTGTAAGCTAAAATCCTTAATCTCTCTGCTTTTTGCAAAAGATTTTTTTCCCCCGTGGTATATTGGAAATCCCTCCTAAAACCTGGAGAGCATTACTTCTTTATAAAGAATATGTTTGTAAAGTGGATAATTTCCAGATGTCAAATGGTTTCTCAGACCTTGCAATAACAATTCACTACTCAGGGTTCTCGGCCAGCGCTGGGCATGTGGTTACCTTGGGTATTTTCAGGATCCATCGTAAGGCAAATGACACCTTTAAAGAGGGGAAAAACAAACAGCCTAATAGGCACCTCACGGCAGAGAGCACCTCATCAGGTTTGTCCCAACACATTCTCACGTCATTGTTCGATAGGGTAACAGGCCATAAAAGAACGAAGCAGCTACTTTCCTTTTCTGTCAGATGTTGCAAGTTACTCATATTTCCTGTTCTGCCATTTAAAGGACTAAGGGCTGAAAATGGGAGTTCATTAACTTGTCTGAAATGAAATATTTTCCTTTCTTTCTACAGCCACGTTCGACCGAATGACATAAACACAGGCCTGGAAGGCATCTCCGAGGAGCGGGTAGTGCCTTCTGCCCTGAGACAGGACTACCCGTACTGGAAGCTCAGGCTGAACCCTGGTGCAGGTTGCCACCAGAAATCTCCCCCCTGTCTGCAGGGGAGCTGGATATAGTATACGTCAAAGAAAGAGAGACCAGGAGTTTCCATGCCGGCTGTCCAGCAGGTCCTAGGAGGGACAGGAGGAACACCCCTCTCTCCCTGCTGCCTGATGGGTTGGGCTGTATTTTAGCCAACAACAGAAGTACGTGGGAGAACGCGGGAGAATTTCAATAAGCTAGCACCAGTGGTATTTAGGCACCGAATCCCTCTCTGTATTTTTGACAGTCTCCCCTTAACTGAGCACATCACACTTCAAGCATTTAAAAATAAAACATTGCTACCCACACTTTTTTTCTTTCCTGTCGGCTGTTGTTTTCTTTACAGACTTGAAACTATGCTTATTCATCCTTCAGAAAAAATCTTATCTCGGTCTGGACGGCCTGGGAAAAGCTCAGGGCACGCTTGCAATGCAAATTTTGAAGAAGTAAATTTAGTTTCCCAATGAGTCTTACCAATTCAACTGTTGCATTTGACAACCATCTTTCTAAACTTTTGATGAAGAAAGAGCTCGCTGCTCTGGGACATGCAGGCTAGTGCTGCAGGCCCTAACATAGCTTTGCGCCCCAGGAGGTCACAGGCCACATCTGAGAGGCCCAAGAAGGGTAACTAAGACAAGCAAGTCTGTTGTCAACAGCCTTAAATTTGCTGTGCTGGAGTCTGTACTGCTGGGGAAAAAAAAATGTAAGGGTTTGGAGATTGCAAGAAAGGTCTGAGAGCAAGGCCACAAGTCAGGCAGCAGCAGCTGTTGTGTTTTTCAAAATACAAAGGCAAAGTCTTCCTGAAATGCAAAGGTGTTTGCAGGAAAATCTTTTCACTCTAATATATTCTGACTCAGCACCAGTATGTAAACTATAGACCATGAACATACTTACTTACAAATGTCCTCACGTGAGTTCCTGCCATCCGAGTAGGTGTGGGTGAGCACTGAGGAGCCTGCTTACTGGAAAAGCACACCTGAGGAGCTCCCCTCGCTCTGCTAATTATACTCTAGGAAGCTTTGATGTACGGCACCAACCCATCCTGCCAGCTGCTGCGCTCCATTTTCTTCTTCGGGCACCTTAAATGCATAGAAAGGGGCTCCCAGCAGGAGCTCCTCGGTGGTTGCTGCCAAAAGAATACCAATGGGTTTGAAAGGAGAAGGAGATGCTGCCTGGGAGATGAAAGCCAGCAGAGATCCTTCCATGTATCCTCCTCCCCTAAATCCCACACAGGTAGCAGGGATTTGGGGCTCTCTTTAGTCTGGAAGAGGAGGCTCAGGGGAGACCTTATCGCGCTCTACAACTACCTGAAAGGAGGTTGTAGCGAGGTGGGTGTTGGTCTCTTCTCCCAAGTAACTAGCGATGGGACGAGAGGAAATGGCCTCAAGTTGTGCCAGGGGAGGTTTAGATTGGACGTGAGGAAAAATGTCTTTACTGAAAGAGTGGTTAAACATTGGAACAGGCTGCCCAGGGAAGTGGTTGAGTCCCCATCCCTGGAGGTATTTAAAAGACATGTAGATGAGGCGCTTAGGGACATGGTTTAGTGGGCATGGTGGTGTTGGGTTGACGGTTGGACTCGATGATCTTAGAGGTCTTTTCCAACCTTAATGATTCTATGATTCTACCTTGTAAGAAGAAGGAGTCTGTCAAGCCATGAGTGCGCTGAGCCTGGGGAAGGCAGATGCTGGCAGCCAGAGAGGCGGAGAAGAGGAGAAGGAGGAGGCAGGCTGCACTTTTTAAAAAGTTCAGGAAGTTCAGACAATGAGCAGTCACATGCATTTCTTACCTTTTAAAATCTCTCCATAAACTGCTAACAATTAAAAAAAAATTAAAGATCACACCTCTTAGCGAGGAAAGCAAAAAAAGATAAAGAATCTAAGAATTAGAATAAGCTACAGCCACAGCCTTAAATCAGTGTAAATAAAATGTGGTCCTGACCCAGAGATTTTTCAATCTTATAGCCTTGAGAAACTATCTTCATTTGATTCATAAAATAAATCAACATGATGCAAACAGCATCAGGAACTTAATAGTTTTGAGAGGAGTTGATGCTAAAATAAGGTACGTGGGCACTGAAACGCCTCCCAGCAGGATGGCCTGACGTGCGGTTGCGTAATGGGGATAAGTACAGTATTTCTTTGGAGCATTAACCTGAATTAAAGGATGAAATGGCTGGGCAGGGATCAAGTGACACTCCTGGTCACTGCTGAGGCCTTGATAAGTATTAGAGAAATTGCAAGACCATCATTTAAATACAGAAACTCTGACCGAGGAGCGCAGCAGTTTTCTTGCAAGGGATTTCTTCTCCCTGCAGGACCAGATCGGCTCTCAGGGCAGCCGTGGCTGGGAAGGAGGGGGTTCAAGGTGGGGTTCAGCCCCCCCCCCCATCACATCTGCACCCAGTGCTTGGAGGGCATGGCTCCTATCTGGCCCTGCTTACCCCGTGGGCTGCAGTGGCTCTCTGCAGAACCGAGTGGTGCTTTCCAGGGGCAGCAGCTGGACAAAGCATGAGGGACTGATGCAAAACCAGTTTATTGCGCCTATTATGCAGCTGTGTCAGGAGTGACATACTTAAATCCCTGTGCATCACAGTGGGGGAATGCTCCCCGCGCAATGTTGCTTGTTGTCAGTAATCCTCTCAACTCGCTGCTCAAAATACAGCATGTGGCAGTTGCTGCCACGCCATGGAAAAAATGTGGTATGCACCAAAGTTACGTAGAGCCTGATCTTCATCTGGGGTCAGGCCATGTAAATCGGGGCGATGCCTGCCGCAGCCGGTCCAGCCTTCTGGAGGCATTCCTTCCCCTGAGAGCAGAGGCAAGGCCACACACCAATGGGAGGCACTGCTTTAAATCTGGAGCCCTTCAACAGAATTATTCCAGATTTTCATTGGAGAGCTAAAATCTGAATTTAGCCAATAGCACGTACACAAATGACATTTGTTTGAGTTAAATCCACCAGCTTTGCTTCAGTTTGAGAGATACCTCCAAGGTACAAACCTCTCCACATGCTTTGCCAATTGAAAATGGATTTTAAGATGCTACTGCCTGCATAGGACCTGTAACAAACTGTGCCCTTGCAGAACTGCCTTATCTGGCAAACAACACTGCTATCATCAGCACAAACTTAACCCTGCCATCTCCGTGATAACACGCTAGATAGGCTTGCTGCAAAGGCTGCCCACCGGAGTGGTATTAGCCTTCTGTAAAGGGAAGACTGGTCTTTGTGTAAGTGTATTTTTAAAGCACATTTTCAAATTATAGAAAAATGACAGTCAAAATTCTTGCCCACTAGATGAGGATTTTGAGGCTCCCAAGTGTTGGCTCACTCTGTTTCCTCACTGCACCAGCAGCCCCAGGTCTACCAGCTTTCTTCTGCTGCTGACGTTAATACAGCCCCATCGTTTTGTTGCGGTGACTTTCATGCTTATAACTTCTTGATGGGATGAGCAGGGCTGGCACACACATATCCCCTCAACCATCACCACTGCTAGCTTCTGGGGGGGCTTCTGCTCTCAAAACCAGCTCCCAGAATTGCAACAGAATAAGGCCTGAGTCAAATCTAGGTTCAAAGGGGGAAGAGGATAAAACCAGGCTCACTAGAGATAAGCCTAGGGGTAGCATGCCAGTGCTGGGGGCGAAATGGATAGCCCAGCTCAAGTGCATCTACACCAATGCACGCAGCATGGGCAGCAAACAGGAGGAGCTGGAAGC